TTTTCCTGGTTTCCATTTCATTCATTCTGCTTGTAAGGTTTTCCTATTGTTTCAAATTAACTTATTGAGCTTTTCAGTTCCATCTTCATTTCGGCTTGAGTGTTCAATATTTCTATCTCTTTTGTGAATTCACTTTTCAAGTCCTGAATTTTTTTTGCTATTTCATTATGCCACACATTTTTATTTTTTTGAGCTTCAGTCCCAATTTTATGACCATCCTCTTTGAGTTGCCTGTATGTCCCTAAAGTTCCTTGATCATATTTATGATTGCTTTCAAACTTCTATGTCATGGGTTTCCTCTGTGGGGTTCTCATTGTAGCACACTCTGTAGGACTGGTGGGTTTGGGGTGGGACATATTCTCTTGGTTTTTCATATTATTTGTGTTTTTGCATTGTCGTTTGGGTATATGGATGTCTTCTATTAATTTTGTGTCCAATGGGAAATTCTATTCTGCCCTTGTTTAGTTGAAGTTTTGCTCTGTTTATAATGTTAATGTAACTTGGTTGATTTTTGCTCAGGTCTAAAAAGTTAGTTGGTGGGTGCTTCAGTATCTTTCAGCATAATAGGTTGGTTTGTGGCAGGCAAATCAGGAGGCCAAGGGCAAGATGGGAGCGAGAACAGCCTGTGGAGAGTCTTAGCTAAGATGAAAAACTGAGTTAGTCTGGGTGCAGGGAATCAGGATCTACTGTGCCAGTCTGGACTAGGAGAGAAGCCCAGAGATCTGAGGCAGAAAGAACAGGAGCAAGCCTAGGCCCAACTCTAGAAGAGGGACAGAGTGTAGGGAAGAGAGTGGAGCTGCTCACAGTGCAGGGAATCAAGGCGCAGTGGGCCAGAACTGATTTACCTGGATAGTAGGCAGGTCTGTGGCAGGCAGATCAGGAGGGGATTGAAGGGCAAGACAGGGGTGGGGATGGACTGTGGAGGGTCTATCAAGTTAAGCTGGAGATCCTGGGTGCAGGGGATCAGGATGCAGCAGACAGGTATGGACTAAGAGTATTCTAGAGATCTGAGGGAGAAAGAGCAGGAGAGAGCCTGGGCCTAAGGTTAGGAAGGGTACAGAGTGCTGAAACTTGTTTATCTTTAGGAACTGTTTTTTTTATTTACTATGATTAAAATGCATTTCTTAAAATCTATAATTTTTAAACATCAATGCCTTTGAATTGTTTAAAAATGTCTTTCAGCTGGGCATGTTGGAACACGCCTGTAATCCCAGCACTTGGGAGACAGAGACAGGCAGATCTTTGAAAGTTAGAGGCCAGCCTGGTCTACATAGTGAGTTCCAGGACAGCTGGGGCTACAGGGAGACCCTGTCTCAAAAAGACCAAAAAAAAAAAAAAGTTTAAAAAATATAAAGAAAAGAAAATTGTCTTTCTTAAAGAGCTGTTTGCTTTGAATAAGGCAATTACTAGAGACTGGACCCAGGGCTTGAGCATGTTCCACAAACACTAACACTTTGCCACTGACTAGATACCCAGCTGTAGATAAGGAAGTTCTTATTTTTCCCTGTTTATCCTTTAAAGAGTTTTACAAAGTCAAGTAATGTCTAAAGCATGGTTTTAGAATTAAAATGTATGTGAGCTTTAAGTATTTTTTCTAATGTCAACATAAACGAGAACCTAGCCTCAGTATTTTCATGTGATATAATCATTCTGTAGTGTGAATTTATGGTTATGTTAAGTCTCTTTTCTAGCATATGAGCACCTCAAAAGAACTGTGGGAAGCTGCCTGATATTTATTTAGCAAGCACTTACTGAGGGCCTGAGAGGCTTGGCTTATAGCTCAGTGGTAGAGTGCTTAGCTTCTATGCTTGAGGCCTAGCACTACACATAAAAAAAATAAGTTGACCTGAAGGAGTGAAATATATACTGTGGCCTGAAAGATAAGTGAAGGATATCCAAAGTAACAACAAAACACACGTTCTGTCCTATAGATGTCCTTAGTTGTGAAAGAATTTGCTGGGTTCAGGGAACAGGAAAAGGCCAGTGTAGATGCAGAGTGTTCTGTCAAATAAGGAGAAAATCACTTAGCTATCTCTAAGGGTGTAAATACGAACAAGGTGTGGCCAGCCCGGCTAGGGATTTGGCGCTTAGTTCCAAGAGCACTGAGAAGCCATTGGATGGTGCTGAGAAGACAGTAATGGGTTCTAGTTCGTGCTCTGAAAATACCATTCTAGATACAAAATGGATGGGGTGAGTGAGGAATGGCTCTTGGAAATTTCTAAGCATGAGATGATAACTTGGTTTTGGCCAATCACAAGAATGATGAAGATAATTGGACAGATTAGGAAGCATTTAAGTGATTAAGCACTGATTGATAGTTGAGGTGCAGTGACATGAAAGAGAAGGGATGTCAGATTTCAGCATGAAATTCGTTGGGATGAGTAGCTCTAGGGGAAAAGAAGGAAGATGGACAGTCAGAAGTTCAGCTTGGATATGCTGCGTCCAAAACACACTTGAGATTTCAGGACGCTGTCAAGTCCAAAGTAAAGAATGTCTGGACTACCACCTGTGAGCACTGGTAGCTAAGCGGAGCTGCAGAAATGAATGGGCCAGAGCAAACCTTGAGGAGATTCTAGGCCATTTTAAGGTTACCTGAAGGAAGAAAACCAGGCAAAGGAGATTATCAAAGAATATTCATTTGCAGAAGCAAAACTGTCCAAAGGCAAGGCCCCAAAGCCAGTGAGGAAGAGCAGTTGAAGAAGGTGATAGCAGCTGTGATTAACAATACCAGAGCACTGAGTGTGATGCATATTCATCAACAGTATTTGTTCTATTTAGAGGGTATCCATGACTTTGGAGGATAGATCTATGTGAAGATGGATGGGTTGAACAGGGGCTAATGGGAGAGGAATATGGGGTCCAGTGTTCTGTTTGGTCTTTTATTTTCTCTTTTCATAATGCATGAAACTGGAAAGCATTTAACTATTACTCAGTTAGTCAATACAATAGTCTAGATATCCTTAGGAATGAGACAGTAGAGCCACAAATAAATGGTAAGAGAGATTTGCTTTGAAGAGGGGAGTGCTCCCTGCATTGCAGTGAGAAGGGAGAAGAGAAATGTCTGTGAAGGTACAGAAGAGGATGATAGACAGTTCCTGTCCACTGCCTCCTGTTTTGTCATGTGGTAGCAGGCAAGCTCAGCTGCCAAAAGCCAAAATTGGGAGGTAAGTGGAAAATTTGGGACAGTCAGCACTATCTGATTATTTTTCCTCAAGAGAATGTAGTTACATAAAACACAGGGGATCAGGATTTTTGAGTTGATTCATGGTTCCCCTCCCCCATGGCCAACTATCATAAAAAGTCAGGGATCCAAAGGAGCTTAAGATATTTGCGATGGAGGGTCCAGGAGTGGTGGCTAGAATCTAAGTAGATGAGGGAGCTGGCTTCCGATGAGAGGGAACTGATGAGGGAAATAGGTGGCCTGGAAAATTCATTGATGTTGAAAACAACAGCAGCATTTGGGACTCCTGAGCAAGGAGTCTGGAGGGATGTGCTTGTATAGTCAGCTGGACTGTTTCAGTGAGTGCAGAGTACGGTGGCCCCAGACAGTGTTCTTTGTCTGTGACCAGGTGGGCTCAAGGAAGAGGCACTAGAGATGAGGAGGTTAGTGATCTCAGTGGCGCTGTGCACTGTGCACAGGAAGCCTATGTGACAGTTGCGTTTGATTGGCTCAATTGTTGGAGATGGAAAAGAGTGAATCATGGTAATCTGGGTGCCAGAGTCCTCCCTGAGTGATGTGATGACAGAAACAGATGGGTGAGAGAGAGACAACAGATGGAGCCCATGTCATAGTCTGGGAATATGTCATAGTCTGGGGGTCAGGGAGGAAGTCTGGGAGAGGCGCTCGCTGGGAGGAAAGGAAAGTATAGGATTGTAGTGAAGTAACTCCTAGAACAGTATGAAAATATAGGTTGTAACATTGTACAAG